TGCGTGCGTGTGTGTGTGTGTGTGCCCATGCGTGCGCGTGCCGCTGTCGTCAGTGTATCTGACACTCTAGATTCAGAATCAGTCGTATTCGCACAGCACATACACCTGGGGTGGTCCTAGGCGTGCTTAGCTGTCAATGTACTCTCAGCGGCAGCCTCTGTTTCAACACCTTTGCCATCCGCCGACGAAACGGCTGAAGCAATGGCATGCGCATCGAAAAACCATGAAAAACCTGCAGCACTGCAGTCCGAACAACCGAGGGAACACAGCGATTCGAACATGTGCCAAGCCCTGTGTCGCTCCCAGGTGGCAGGCATAGCGGGCCTCACTTCTGGCGTCATCTCGAACCCCTGTAGTCCCTGCATAGCCATGCCAGCCTGATACCTGTGCTTCTTATTCGTCAGCAAAAATGAGACAAGTTTGGGGCAATTCCATGAGCACAGGTTTCCCCTAAACTAGACTGTGCTCCCGGATCCCAGAACCGAGACCAGAAGAGACACTCGTTCTGGTAGTCGGCAAAGGCCACGTTTCGCCCCGGGATCAGCCGGACCTCTGGAGTCTGGAAAATTGGGCCGACATCAAAGCCGTTCAGCGAAACTGCCACGGACCTCCTGGAAGCCCGGATACTGGCGGAAGAGCATCGATAGCATCGTGTCTGTGGCCTGACAACAGAAACGGTATCTGGAGCAACGCAAAATAATCTAACCACATGGTTCACGTCACAATCTCCTGCCAGAAAATGTCCACGCTTTGCGGCCCATCGGACGTTACGGCCAGAGGACGGGGCATGTGCGAGTGTCTTTTTGAAAGGCCGTAACTTTTCGTCAACTGCTCCTGCCCATCGGTCCCAACATAAAAGCTTTGCACTCTGCGTTTGTGTGTGGCAGTCAAAAGCCACGCTGGGCACTGCCCGAATGCCGCTTCCGCCACCTCTCCTGTTGTTGTGTTCTGCAAGGATGTAAGAAAGCGGAATTGACAATATCATGCAGACAGTACAGTCATGTTGCCGTCGCACTAGCCACCGCTGCATGTGCCAAGTCCGGCTGTGGCCGCACGAACACGCCTAGCCACCTTCCCTTCCCGGCCGGGCACCGAAGACGTCAACCCCATGCTGACGAATTCGCCTCTTGCCCAAGCTCTCTGGTCGTCTGCACCCTCTTGACTCTCACACAGCTCAAATTAAAAATGCAGGCTGTCTTCAGATGCCTCTGCCGGGAGGTTTTCCACGAAAAGCGTCCGGTTTGGCCTGAATTCCATGGTAGCGGTTCAGGCGTTTTCTCGGAATGGAGACCAGTGAGCTGCCAAGAGAATGCCATTCAGTGATTAGATTTAGGTTGAAGAACCACCAACTATCGGCATCCAGAGTTCCTCGCAGAGCACTGTGACATGACTGAGACCGGCACTCCGCCGGTTTTGATGACGACTGCGCCGACTGACAGGGTTGCGCACAATGCTAACTGGCTAGTTGGGGTTCGGAACGGCCCCTACCGACTCAAGGCACCATGTCAAGATGCATCCTGAGCAACCATGCATGGAACTAGGGAGCCTTTCAACGCACTGCCACTGCTACTCTCACAAAGCCGACCCTGCCTTTGATGCCGTCTGATTCGGGTTCCATCCAATGCGGTCCTTTCGCAACTCGCAGAACTGGCAAAGCATGACAATCGCATGGAGCGGGCTGCTGAACTCAGAGCAAGCCTAAGCAGACCAATGGTCCAACATCGCACAGACAGATGCAACACAAGCGAAGACCAAAAAAAAACAAATCTCACACAAAAAATGGCATTGTCAGCCTTGGGTGCCTTGCAACTCGCGCATTTTTTGTGTTCTCCCGCTGCTTGTGGGGAGGCGCTTCTTGCGCATCGCTTGCATCTTTGCGAATTCATTGAAATTACCAAAAGACTCGAGAGGTCAAGCGCTTCAACATCAACACCTCGAAATCTGTTACGAAATGGATATGCAGCCCGGTTTCTGAAGCCCAGCTGAGCTCACGGAAACCTACCTCCGGCACTTGGAGGCTGCCCCTCCCGAGTCTCCTGAAAGCTCTGTAGAGAGTATACAAGTACTGATATAGTTTCGAAGTCCACATGGAGCGGACAGGATGCTTTGTGTCTGATGTTTCATGGTTGCCTATGTGGAGAATCCACCTAGGTGAACGCGAAGTTCACAACTCCATTGAAGTTCTGAACTGGAAGGAAGCTTTGAGAGGCGCTTGGCACGTGGCTTTTCGCCAAAGCGCAGCCAGCCCTCGCAACGATATGTGGCAGGGCAAAAGCGGATTTGCAGTTGTTGCAATTGGGTCACAGGTGCTGCGATTGCAGACTCCGTAGACGCTTTGTTTCCCGAAGCACTACACCCATAATCTTCAGAGCTTCTCCGCGATCTCCAGCTTGTGAACATCGCCAGGAGCTCCCGTGCGATTCAATAATTCAATGACAGCTAATCGCTATTGAACTTTCATATATAGTGGTGCAGAGGATACTTACGGAAAAACTATCACTTCATTGCAAAGTCGGAGGGAGTTGACCAAGAATCCAACAACTTTGTCGAACTCGTAATCAGCCGATCCAGGAATGATCACATTCCTGAGATCTGCTCACTGCCGGAAATCATGCTGAACAGCACAATCGTAACACATACTCACCAAAGACTGCCAACCCTTGACCTCGATGATCAATGCCCAGGCTCGGACAATGCCCATTCCCAGACAAAGACAGGAGATAGTTGGAAGCTTCAAGCTCCTGGCAAGGCTAACAGGATAGCTCGTGTCAGGTCCACGGTGCATGAAGCTGTGTGCGGGTACGAGGCTCCTTTGCATGCTTGTCCTATGTTGCGCCCATGCCAGGCTGCATGATGTTACATGCACCTCCCCCTGTGTACTTGCCGAAGCTATGACGGCAACGCTGTGTCCATCAACGCAGGGCTAACAGACCGAGTGCACCGAATTAGCATCTCATCTTTGCTTTTTGGACAGAGCAGACCCAACGCGCCCAATGATGCCACTTCGGTGCAGGGCAGACAGCACACATGTCCACTTGTGAATCCGTTATCGCCAAACTGGGATATCGTTTCTTACTGCTGCTCGTTTTATAATGTAATCAGCATTATCATATATGACAAGTGCAGGGAACAGGTTTGGCTCTTGCTCGCAGCATCTTGCAATCAGTTTACCATTTCCCAGGATGATCCGCGTGCGTTGTTTTGAACTGATGGGACGTCAGCAGCTTGCACATCTGGAGGCGTCTGAAGCTTCAGTTTATGTGCTGGAGGCCCTCTAGCCTGAGTTGTCACATTCAACAGTCGCAAGCTGCAGTTTGCACAAGTGCAGCCTCTCAAGCCCCTGGTCGTACAAAGGGCACCTCTGTCAAAACAAAGTTTTATAAGCCTTACAGTATCGTGTTTGTCAGCATTTTGGACACCCAACTTGCCTCGGATTTTGAAGATTTCATGCAGCCGGTCTTGCAAGTCTCGTATCTTCAGTTTGCAGAAGTGCAGCCTACCAGTTTTGACAAGGCCAGGTCTCAAGCTTCAGTTTGCAACAGTGCAGCCTCGCAAGCCGCAGCTTGCTGGCACTAGTAGTACTAGTAGTAGTAGTAGTAGTAGTAGTAGTAGTAGTAGTGGTGGTGGTGGTAGCAGTAGTAGCAGCTGTAGCAGTAGTTGTCGTCGTCGTCGTCGTAGCAGCAGTAGTAGCAGCAGTAGCAGCAGCAATAGTAGCAACAGTAGCAATAGTAGCAGCAGCAGCAGCAGCAGTAGTAGTAGTTGTTGTTGTCGTTGTTGTAGTGGTAGTGGCAGTAGTAGTCGTAGCCGTCGTCGTCGTAGTGGTAGTGGTATCTAGTGGTAGTGGTCGTGGTCGCGGACGTGGCAGTAGCCGCAATAGTAGCAGTAGCAGCAGCAGCAACAGCAGCGGTAGGAGTAGTCATAGCAGCAGCGGCAGTAGACCGTGGCAGTGGTGGTAGCAGTCACAATAGCAGTAGGAGAAGTACTGACACTCGTACTAGTCGTACGTGTCGTACCACTGGTGCTAGTAAAACCTTGTAGTAGTAAACTCGTAGCACTAGTATCACTAGTAGTACTGCTCGCAGTACTAGTAGTACTAGTCATGGTAGGATTAGTCTAGTACTCTTGTGACACACATCCAAACCTGATCGGTTCTACTGCTTATTTTATCCTTTTTCATGCTCAACCACGAATGGCTCCTAGACCAATCTCAAAGAAACCCTTGTAACACAACCTCACTTTGCATCAAAGTGGCTCTGTCGAACACATGCACCATCACAGGTCAAATGCATAGCCAGTCGAAGGTCAGGCTTGTCATCAATACGAACTGGAGGATGTGACGAACAGCTCTCTTGACAATACTTAGACTCAGACAGAAGTACTGCCAGTGCAGCTCACGTGACTTCGAGGTCACTGCAAATGATCCTGACTTCATGATCATGTTTATACCGATGATGATGATGATGACGCGGAGGAGGAGGAGGAGGAGGAGGAGGAGGAGCGAGGACGACGTTACGCGTGTCAAAGCTTCAGCGACGTTCCATCGACACCAGGCCATGGATCCTCGAATTACTCGCGCCTTGTGCTCATCTGATTCTGATGCTATTCATATACAGCAGTTATCGGAAACACCACAGCACTTCAGGTCCTGTGCCAGCTCAATCGCTGACTCCGCCCTCAGTTTTTCACTGGTGTTGCCCACAAGCATCGCAACGCTTCAACTTCACCGATCCACTTCACAGGTAGCGTGGGAACGGTTGCATGGATGCCATCAATACTAGAAGGGGGCACTTTGCAGGGCTCCTCAAAAGGCATGCATAGGGATACCAAGGCTGTGCCTACGGCAGCAGAAGCTCTGTAACGACCTCTAGGCCCCACTGGCATCCTTTCGGAGGCTCGCATCATCAGCATCCTCTTCTCGGCAAAGGGAGCTGCCGTGGAACTGAAAACTAACGAGCTCTGAGCTCAGTCAATGTCGTCAACAACAGCTTGCCGCCACTACTAAATGCCTTGGTGACGTGTCAATGCAGTTCAAGCTAGCAACCAATATGACAGGGCCACCGCATGGCACGATGCTCAAACCAGCAGGAGTGGATAAGCAAGTTTGCTAGCTATGTCTGAGCGTCTCTAGACATCTTTCAAGCGCTTCTTCGACTCCAAACTGCATGCGCCATTGATTCAGTTTCTTTTGTCGGCATTTCTGCTGGCCCTGTCTGTTCCAGTCTTCGGCCGAGTCGCTTGTCGTATGACACGATCCAGTCGCCCGTGTTGTGGATCGCCATGTACGGAGGTATGCCTTCGAAAAAACTCATTTCATTATGGGATTCAAGCATCTGCCTCAAGGGCTTTGTCATATCTTGTTTGAATCTCTCCCAGTCTCCGGTACTTCCTAAACTGACAACCTTGAAGTGCTGGCGACACAGTCAATCATCCAGAGTGTTCGTCAAGGCTCTTCCGACAGCTGTCTTGCGGTACTTCCACATGGTTGACTTCCAATAACCACCTGCAGAGCGCTGTTCGGGCTGCAGTATCTAGCAGAGCATGGCCAGAAAGCTTAATACCGATGAAACCCTACCTTCAGCCGATGCTTCATGCGGCATGCAAAAGCCTGCAAATTAAAGCAGGCTCAACCGGAGTGCCAACCCCCAGAATCGAAAGAATTGAGCAACCCAAGGTCGGCAAGCGATCTTGCGGTCCACCTCCCCACATGAAAGGCGAGCCTGACAAGGAGATGCCAGCATGCACGGCCGAGGGGTAGCCCGGATTGCCAGAGTCACCCTCGCCTGGGAATTTCGGAATTTCGAGTGCTTAGATGTTTGTCGCTGGGACGGATCTTCAATGGCTTGAAAGGCCGTGAAGATCGCTGCAACACGTGCTCAAGATTTGTAGCCAAGGATGGGTCGCCAGATTAATTTGTATTTTTGCATCAGTGCGGTTAATACTACATGTTCTATGGGTTTTCATTCAGTCTGCTCCTTCCGCTGCTGAAACAGCGGCATAGTAGAGAACGGCCTGCACATGCTTGTTGCCGGACGCCATGGTACTGTGCTTTGGTTTCGGCCGTCTAAGGATGCCGAGGCCAGGAGACCGGAGGCCATGGCAGTAGCTTCTGGTCTTGCACTAAGACTTAAGGGTTTCGGAGCTTGGGTGTCACGTTTGACGCTTGCTCGCCCGCCTTTCTGCCTACTTGCCTGCTCACTGCTTGCTCACTGGGCTTGCTCGCTTGCTCGCCTGCTTGCCTGCCTGCCTTCCCAAAAACAGATAACAAATACAAGGCCGCATCGACAAAACACACTAAAGTCACTAAAGCAATACCACCACCCCAAGGATGCGGATCAATGTGTTTACATCGATTCAACGCATTTGCCTTAACAAAAACGCCAACGCTCACTCCACACAGCATATCACTAGACAGCCAGTCCAATCTGTCGGCCAGGGCCACCGTCACACCAGCTTACCGCAAAGAAGCCTTCAGACTAAACGACGTCTCGCGGCACAAGAAAAAGCGTCGTATCACTGCACTTGTTGTTGCCAAACATCTGGGTAGGCAGATGCGAGACACGCGACAGCACTAGAATAGTAGTCAATAGTAGTTTATCGTTATCGGGGAAACTATGGGAAACTACTTGTGACACCACATATCGCACTGGCGATGTCCGTCTGATCGTCGATACCAGCTCTGCATGCAACGCATGGCTGCAGTTGTTGTCGAACGTAATCGGGTTGAGACAGGGAAGCAGCACATGACATGCTCTCCGGCGAATCAGCCCGTCCGACAAACACACTCTTGCATGGATGGTGCCTAGCCCGAAGAACTCTGCGCTCTAGCGGCTTGATGCTTTTCTGTCTCGTCGAGTGCACTGAGCAGAAGCGCGCTCAACAGCAACCACATAGCACAGCAAAGAGGGCAAAATTCCAGGTCCCAGGGGCCATAGTTCATCATCATGAGGTGGGTCAGCGTTAAGCCACCCGCCGAGCACCCAAAGAGTGCAATCTTCGATGTGTCGATGGCAAGGCTGGCCTGACTCTAGCAGAAAATAGCGGTTCTTCTAAGCTGCTACAATGCTACAAGCATCTACAAGCCATCACTGCGAGTTCGTTGTTTCGTTGCTCTGGGGCTTCTGTCCTATATCGAGCGACAGAGCGACCAACAGCCACAGCAACGACAGCCAGAAAAAGCAAACGAATCGCTGCGACATGTCGCGACGTCCCTGACTCTCCGATTCGGTGGAGGCACATTGTTTTTGACCAGGTATCGAACCGCTGCCATTGCATCGTGAACCTGGGCTTCTGGCAGCTGGATTTACAGCCTGTAGGGTCTCATGTCTGATACGGAATGGCCTCTACCCTTCGAGTTGCCGGAAGCCGGAAGCTGTCAGCCGAGGCACAGGGGCACCATACATGATTTCTGGGCAGCCACTGGTTCCCCAGTTTCGGCAGTACTCACCATACCGCCGATATTCGAGGGATACTACATGAAATCCATACCTCACCGCTCTTTGGGGGCAGAGAACATACCGGAAAGCTGCTACATGTAACTACCAGTGAAGGCAGAAAGAAGCTGCCAGATCAAGCCCGAAGGCATGGCGAAGTATTTCGAAACTGTGGGTGCCCAGTTGGAGGTCTTGGTGCTGGACTTCAGGAACGCACCACCGTGAATCACGATCATGACCGGCTTGTATTTGAAGCCGTCCTGGCCCTGATGCACGAGGTACTGGTCCCTTAAGGTCCCAAGCGCGAAGCGCGGCTTGCGTGGTCAGAAATTACGATTCAAGACTGACAAAAAGGCAAAGCCTGCTTCGATTCTCTGCGCGGCATGTACAACACTTCCTCCTCGTCAAGCTCTTGGTTGAATGCCCTTCCATACCTCAGATGTTAGCGAGTTGGGCTGAAGGGACCAAAGTTCAGACTCCGCTGCAGCAGACAAACGAGGAAGGCACGGGATGTCGCTGGTGACCTCGACCTGCCCCCACTCTGCGATGAAGTCGCACCATCCGCACTCGGAGGGGCAATTCCTGATCCAAAAAAGGCATACAGTTACAGTTCTCAAGTTCGAACACACGGTACTCGAGAGTCAAGAGTGTACTCGAGGACTCGAGACATCTTGAGACCGCATCTAGATGCAGAAGTTGCTGCACCAACGCTCAGAAAGAGGATCTGCTATGCGCGAGTGCCATTCAGGACCCCCCAATACTTGCACCCACTGCTTTGAGCTTTAACTGACTTATGGCAACCATCCGTTGCGGACAGCTGCTGCTGGGATGCCTTTTACCAAGAGCCTCGGCATGTTGTCATATAAACCTCCGGCTTGCACCGCTTGCGATGGACCACAAACACATCGAACCCGAAGGAGAAGCCCTGCGTGGCTGTGCCCCTTGATCACTGTGTCCACAGCTTAACTACTTGCTGTGTGCTTCCTGTCATCCGTGAGAGTTCCATGAAAGGAACGGGCATCGAGAGTCGAGAGAGCTGACTTGCACAGTTTCGCTTGTCATTGGTCCGCCTCCAGAAGCCGAAGCCCATCGTGCAAAGCTGCACACCCGAAATGACTCGACCCCAAGCCAAAGCCAAGCATCACGTCTGCAGAGTTGGCTGTAGACCTGGCAGCCCGCGATCTGGCCGTCGCATCACGCAGCTCCTTCAGAGACCAAGTCCTGAGGAGATCATATACCATGTCCTGCGAAACATGAAGCCCGAGACCGCCCGAGACCCTCTCCGGCTTCGCCTTTGCCGAGCCACTTCAAAATTTCGGCTTTCGCAAGCTCGCATTCAGAGTCCGTGTCCGGCTGCGCCTGAACCTCGCGAGTGACACACCATGTACTGCGGCAGTGCACGGCACCAAACGCAACACCTCTACCCGTCTGGGATTCTGAACACCTCGCGCTCATCCCATGTGTCCATCACTCAAACAGCCAACATATAAATCCATCCATCTAACCATAGATACATGCTTGCATACATTTTAATATATTCATACATACATGTATGCACGTAGGCATATGTTCGTTCATCCATCATTTACTCATTCATGCATACATGCATTAATCAATCCATTCATTCATTGGCCCCTTCGTTGTATCTTTCCTGCATGCATTCCTTCTTTCGTCATTCGTTCACTCCTGCAGTATTGCCGAATGCGACACACTGTACGGAAATGGTTGCAAGGTACTGCTGCAACAAGATACAACATGGATGTCTTTTCCGGTATGTTTTTGCGATAAATCGTCAAAGCGAGCGACTTTAGAAGGCACTTAAACCTAGCGAAAGTAGGTAGGTACGCAGGTGGGTAGGTAAGTAGGTAGGCAGGCAGGTAGGTAGGTAGGCAGGCAGGTAGGTGGGTAGGTAGGCAGGTAGGTAGGCAGGCAGGCAGGTAGGTAGGTAGGCTGGTAGATAGGCAGGCAGATAGGCAGGCAGGCTAGGCAGGCAGGTAGGCAGGTAGGCAGGCAGGCAGGAAGGCTGGTAGGCAGGTAGGCAGGTAGGTAAGTCGGCATGTAGATAGCTAGATAGCTAGATAGATAGATAGATAGATAGATAAACAGATAGATTGAATGAGAGAGAGAGAGAGATGGACGAATGGATGGATCGATGCATGCATGCATGGATGGATGGGTGGGTAGATCGACAGACAGATACAGAGAGAAAGGCATACGGATGTACAGGCATCTGGATATATCGCGATCTAGATGTCTAAATATCTACAAAGCTATTTGGACATACAGACATCCCGATACATGGATATTTCTATACATACATACATACATACATACATACATACATACATGCATGCATGCATGCATGCATGCATACATATGTATGTGTACATACATACATACATACATACATACATACATACATACATACATGCATATCAATATACATATTTGCATGTATACATTGAGAAATACATATAAAGCTCAGACATACAGAGCTCGAGGCATATAGGCATATATACCTATATACTGATTGCCCATAAACATCTACGCCTACAGACTTATAAACATGTGGATATAAAGACTTCAACATACATGCACACATACACACATAAACACGTGTGTCAAGAGAGAGAGAGAGAGGGGGGGAGAGAGAGAGAGAGAGATGTATGTAAAACATGTACACATGATACATACACACATACACATGCATACATAATTACATGTATGCATGCATGCATACATACATAAGTACATACGTACATATATACGTACATACATACATACATACATACATACATACATACATACATACATACATACAAATTATGCGTATATATATATATAACAATGTATGTGAGGATACAAACGGAAACATCGTGCTCATATCGCCATACGTACTGCTTCCTCTTCTTGTGCTTCTTCCACCCAGACCAAGGAAGGACAATGCCGCGCTACCCAGCGCACCCCGCCCCCCCTCCGCCCCCTTCCACCCCACCCCACCGAGCAGGCGCGCGCGTGCGTGCGCGCCATGGGAGGGCGTTCGGCTGGATAGCAGCATTGTGAACCCCCGGAACTTTGGAGCAGCCCCCCCGCCTGGCCTCTTCCCCTGACACTGTAACATGCACCAACGCACAACATGAGCGGCTTTCTTCACTCGTCGGGGAGCTCTCAGGCTCGCAGGGCGCCGCACGACCACTGCAACAACGAAGGTGCACTCTACATACTTCGCCAAAGGACAGTGGGAAGCCCAATGACCCGCATGTGCGCTGATCCAAACAACTGAAATCAGCGATGAAGCTAGGCAGCTAGGTCTGTTAGCAGTGTGGACCTTCCCAACTGAACTCTCTGCACACCGCATCACCCCGCATCCCCCTGCATCTTCCACCCCAGGGCGTGTGCTCTCTTGAGCCGGCCCGACACTGTTCTATCTAGAGCGTCCCAACACGAAACTGAGGGCCAGGAGTAGCTTGCAACAATGCACTGCCGCTTTGTCCCCGCTATGCAGTGTCTCCAAGGAAGTCCCCCTGTATCTCTCTTACAGGAATCCGACCCCGTCCCAACCCACCAAGTACGTCGAAGTCACTGAAGCGAAGAAAAAAGCGGCACACGGAAGCAAGCAGTAGCTCCAAGAGGGCACCATTGCGAGGTGGTATCCTATGTGCACATGCACAGACTTTTCTGCTTGGCTGCTCGATCATGGATCATGGAACCAAACGAAGAGCAAAGTCCTGCTTCCTTACAGCCTGTAAGATGGAAATTTAAGGTTCAGCCTTCGTCGACTGAGTTGATTGCTGTTGGGCTACAGAGCAGAAGCCGGCAGAAGCAGGAGTTGAGATTCAAGAAGGCTCTGGCTGGCGAGTGGGGGCCTCTGATGAAGTGAGACCTTCGCGACGGTTCACGAAGTCGCGGTTCTACTGCAAGTTCGTGCTTTCGCAATTGTCCACGGCGAGACACTTTTTGTCCGCAGGCAGCTCAGCGAACGAACACTGGGACTCTAGGACGAGGAAGCAGGCAGGAGCCAGGACTCTTTAAGCTTGTCATCTTCAGCCCAAATCGATGGAGCTGCACTCCTGGCAGGGGGTTCTGCTTTGCTCCAACCTTTGAGCCCGATGCCATTCCCCATCCAATATTCGCTCACCTCATGACGTTGCTCTCCGGAAATGACAAGCGTAGCGAACACCTGACGAGACCTGGAGCCTTCCCCCTTTGCTGGCGCCTGGTCTCTTCCTGGTCAGGGAAAGCTGTGAAAGCTAGGCAGGCCGGGCACGGTCTGGGCTTCGAGGGCCTCAAAGCTTTGCACGAAGCTCCCAGCGGCCATTCGGCCACCTTCCACCTGGAAGGATGCTGAGAATGGCTGTGTAAGACTGCATCAATTGGCAGAATACTCACCTGTAGCTAAATTGATCGCGCATGCAGCGATCTGGCTCATGGGTTCGAAACCATCAATGCACTGACCGATGATCTTTTCAACGTGGCCTCGTCCTCTTTCCACAGGAACTTGCAGCTGGTGCAGCGAATGGTGATGACAGGCTCCTGCTTCGCAGAGGCAAGATGTTTGCTGGATGATTCTGCCGCCCCTGTCACTCCCCTGTCGGCCTCACCACATGTCAGGCAAAGCACATGTCCAGGTGTTTGCTTGATGCTTACTTCATCTACGTTCCGATGCTGGCCTATGTTTGTTGAAACTTTCGGCTCACCTTCCAGGGTTTAATCTTGAAATTAAGGAGCCTGCGAGACTTTCGTGCCCTTTCGGGGTACAACCATGCCCTTCAGACATGAGGTCGCTTCTTAAAGCAAACAGTGCATGGTCCATTGCCTGGTTGTTGTCGTCGTGGCTGTGGTAGCCTTTGAAAGACTGGATATATACCTGCATCAACTGGCAGCACGTGTGCTTCGGACTAGGCAGCGCGGAACACATCCTACCCCCTGTCTGGGAGAGAATCAACCCACACTGAAGGACTCTGCCAGACAGCCCACAAAAGAGATGTCTGATCCCTTGAGCATTCCTGTCTTTCTGTGGTGTAAATCGCAGGAACGCAGAACTCCACCGTCCAGTCGTGACGATATGCACTGGAATTCTCTTGACTGGGATGATCTGGGGTTCGAGCACACTTGGTGTTTTCACACCGCGGGCAGGTGAACTGGTCCGAGGGTGTCCAGTGCGCCTCGTCCGGTGTCGTGGAAGTCTCACGGCGGTTCAGGGTGGCTCTGGCTCTCAATCCGAATGGGCTTCAGGCAATCCTTAGCCCGTGTTTCGAGCAAGGCACGGAATCTTCCGCGGTGATTCCCATCGCTTCCTGGAGGCTCTCCTGGAGTTCCGCTCCATGGAGGGGCCTTTGTCTGTCTGCTTCGTTGCAACACACTCCGTCCTGCCGAAACTGCTGCCTCTCGGTTTTCTGGTCGTCTGCCATCAAGGCCTGCTGCAGGTGCCCAACCAACGTTGCCGGCCACATGAAAGTTCCATGCTTTACGTTTGCTTTACTATAAATCTGACGGTTCGTAGGGGTCCGCCAGCTCGTTTGCAACTGTTTGAACCTGGCATCACCACAGGAGCCGGAACGGTCAGCTCGTGGCCTCGTCGGCCATGGAGGCCATCGATTGCGGCAAGAGGTCCCCACTGCGCAGGCGGTCCGACAAAGCCGCATTGCGGCGCAAATGCGTGCCTTCCCGATGCCCCGTGCACAAGCGCGCACACAGGATGATGGACATGGCATCCGATCGTCTCCGGGCCCCGGGCAGAGCCGCTTGTACTGGAATTTGTACGCCTCTGCAGGGACGTTGCTAGCGCAAGAGAGCTCGCTTGGGTGAAGTCCACCTTGTAGTTCTCGCTGCCCTCGACCAAGGGCTCACCTGCTGCGCAGTCCGTTGCTCTAAGTCTGTTCGAGATCCACTCCTTCACTGGGGTGAGAGAGGTCTGGAACCGAGCCCATTCCGCCAGTCACCCGAAACGGACACAGTTTGGCCAAGCGTTTGTTGGCCTGCCGGGCAGGCAGCCCGGAGCATGCCCAGCTCTAGCCTCGGGGCTCGAAGTCTCGAAGCTCAAACGTTTCTCACTGGAACAAAGCCTCGCAAATCAGGCACTTGTCGGTATTGGGATTGCGGAGGGTTCCCCTTGCTTTCTGTGCAGAAATGACAGCGCCCCGTTTTTGTTCTCCTCTGCCATGCTCTGGAGCTGGGGGCAAGCCTGAGCACCCACTGCTATGCACCTCGCACACGCTGTGCCAACCACATGCCAATTTGCAGAACTCCTTCGTCCTAGGCCAACAGCCCATATAAGCCCGTTGATACTGGGAAAGTTTTGTGAAGCGGTGAACTGAAAAGAGCTTCTAAGCCCAGCCCCCAGGATACCTTCCCATGTTCGGAGCACATGAAGGGAACAGCCATGATCTGCTCTTCCGGTTCTACTGGAAGGGAAGCAGGAAGGGAGGGAGGGAGGGAGGGAGAGAGAGAGAGAGAGACAGAGAGAAGAGAGAGAGCGAGAAAGAGATGGAAGGGGAGGGAGCACAGAGAAACAGCGAAAGAGAGGTACGGCTGAGCCGGTGGCTCCTCCGCGATGCGCTTCCCGAGGCCAACCTTCTTGTCGAAGCCTTGGATGACCACCTCCAATCCGGTCAGATCGCGTCGCTTGCGACATTGGAGTGGCTTCTGGTAGATAAGCCTATGTCACAGCCTATGTCGTATGTGCGGCAACCGCAACACAACGTAGAGATTGACTTTCGGAATTTGTCCGGGTGTCAGCCAGCACTCCATGCGACACGAAGGGCAAATTACAAGTTTGGATGGCTCCGATTGCGTAGCTCGGACTGCATCCCTGCCACAGTACAAGACCAGGGTGACTAGGGCCTGGCGCTTGTCATCGTTCGCTTTGGCCGCATTCTTGGTGTTCCTAGAGGTCAGAAGAGATGCGTCCCACTCCGTTTAAACATTCGCTCCGGGAAGCGCCTGTCGGAACTTCTCTTGAGGGCCTGCAAGCCCAACGTAGGATGGATTCTTCATCTTCTAGGGCTAAGGTGTTGAAGGAAAACCGGAGCAGTCGGCGCCTTGCTTGCCATCTTTGCCTGGCAAAGTTGGATTGAGGATTACTGGCATGTGTCAGAGTCGTGAACCTGAAAGTTCAGCCGGAGGCCAAGAGGTCTCGGTCTCAGATTATAAGATAAGCATCTATCTTTAAGTTCGGATGCCAGCACATCAGTGGCCACGGTTTTCGCTTCGAGATCTTGGAACATTTGACACGTGAGCCCAAACATCCCGGCCAAGATCGAGAAGCAAATTAATTATGGCCTTTACAAACTCTTGCCTGTCACAACTCGGCCCGGTGAGGGCCGCAGCATCCATGCTCCAGGCGCGGGATCCGTGAATGTGAAATTCTCGGAATAAGCTACAAAGCTTCAAAGCTTCTCAAGCCCTTGGCCTGTCTGAGGCAGTTTGAGGGGGCTCGTATCATGTTCAAGGCGTGACAGTTTGGGGGTTTCAAGCAATTAGACAGGCGCCTGACGGAAGTTCTATCGCGGACTGCTTGACTCTGGTGCTTCAACAGTGCTATAGTACAGCTGCTCTAGAAGCCTGGATATTAGAGATCGTTGTCGCCAACGTGGCTGCAATAGGCGGTTCTCGGAGGAGCTTTTGCTCATTTTTGCTCTTCACTTCATGATGCTGGAGAGGAAGTGCACGCTGTGACCGGAATCTTCATTGGCGTGACCGCTCTAGACCCTAGAACTTGAATAGGCCTCAAGCGCAGGCAGGAAGCAACGCTGTGCACGGACACAAGAGGCATCAACACCGCCACTATAGCTAGTCCCCACCTGCATACAGACGCATTCAGCAGAACATGCTTTTAAGCAGAGAAAGAAGTGTCTTACCGATTGGGGACTGCGGCAGCCCGGACCGAGACATGTAGCTGCAATGAAATTCGACACCGGGACTCCTGGATGCTCTTCTGCGATGCAGCGGATTGAGCCGCGCTCGCTGGGGTCGAAACCTGTACTTAGCAGACTTCACTCACGGCACCGAGTCGGGTCGGAGAATCGGCATTTAGTAATTTGGTCTATGTTGTGCCCCCACATCGCGATAAGCGGTCACAGAAGAACCCTGCAAGAAGAGGGAGTCACAGTCACGGTCGCATCCTGGTGCAAAAGACATCCTGGGACCGGCACCGTCTTAATCTCGGGAGGCCTTGGCAAGCAAAGCTTCCAAAGCTACGTAGGCATACTGTTGAATCCAGTTGAAGCTGATACTGAGGTCAGCAGAAACATACCGCTGGCTGGTACAAGTCAGGCAGACACTGATTTCAGTTAAGCGCTGTCCCAGTTGCGCATGGGTTGTAGTCGCCTTCTTCCGAACGTCCTGTCTATCTCAAAATTTTAGCACGGAGGTGCACACTGATAAGCGCGTTGCACAACTGGCCTCACGCTTGACGATCTTCTTGGGACGTTCGACGTAGGTGCCGTCGGCCTGATGGTGCACGTATGTTCGCATTCATAGGCTGTGTCTCACTCTCCCAGGCCTTGGCAACCACGTCAGACTTCGTCTTGGCGTATGCAATGCCTCGGTCCGGTCACTTATCCTCTGTTGTTTCTTTGCTCAAATCACTCGAAGAGACTGTGCAGGACCAACGGTGCCCTGATTCATGCCATGCCATGTCCAGTGCAGAGTGGAATGCCCTGAAATCCCTAAACGCAGCCTCTGCCGAGCGCCATGTGACAAGCTCACGAGGTTCTGCAACAGTAATGTCTTCGCGGCTTCGAGGGTCTGTTTACTACCATTTCCCACGCAACGCAGGGCCCAAATCAAATCCAAGCAGTCAAGACCAATTAGTCCGGGATGGCGCACGCATCGGCTTGTTGTAGAAGGGGAAGCCCTGCAGGGACTTCAGGGAGTTCGACGCAGCGGGCACCTGCACTCATTTTCACAAGTTGCGAAGGATAAGAAGTGGCGAAAGTTGACCAAAAGCCGGAAAGACACTACGAGACCGCTTCTTTGCATGCTTCCGTGGCTTACGCTTACCGGTGTACCCTGCATGCGCATGGTTCGGCCCTTTGCAGGTAACTGGCATCTCCGCATGCATATGGCCCTTCCATGTCCGACCTCTTTGAAGATGATCCAAGCCTGGCCACGCAGCAGCTGCTAGCCGTTCAATGTGTCTCTGTGACTTTTAGCAACTTCTTAACAAAAATACAAAATTAAGAGCTGGAGAGGTCCGCCCGACGTTATCTGCAGCTGAATACGCTGCCGAAACTTGTGCAACTAGACACAACAGCCTGAATGAACTAGCAAAGGGCTGCAACAGATTAAACCGAGAATTTTCCCACAGTGGCCTGCCCACGGCGTTTGAGAGACTTCATCGCGACAATGTCTATGATGCCTCCGAAAGCCGCAAAAACCTGCCGCAGAGAGGTGTCTGCATGGTTTGCCGTGGCTCCGGCAGAATCCGGTGTGAATGCATGGAGAACTGCCCTTGCTGCTGTAAGCAGCGACATCTGCTTTCTAGGGATGGGTGGCTTGACTCAAACTTTCGAAGGAAGCGGTGTGAACAAATATGGACAGCAAGGCCAAGCTGTCGACAACAGCAGTCCTCACAACAACACATTCTCTATCACTCTCACTCTCACTCTCACTCTCACTCTCACTCGCACTCTCACACTCACACTCACACTCACACTCACTCACCCACTCGCTGCCCCTACCACACACGCGCTTGCTTACATTCTAGATTGTTAGATTTATTGAAGTGCCGTTGGAAATCTTAGGGCCCTGTAGATCCTGAGACAAGCCTCAGATGAGGTGCGCATTCCTTTGCAAACGATGCAACGTTAGGAAGTTGTCCCCAAGAACCAAGATCGTCACCCATGAGCGACCCCTGCAGGTGCACGAGAGTTGGACATGAGCATCACATGCCCATGCTGATGTTCTGAACCCACCGTCGAGTAGTGCACGCACCGACGCCACTTTACAGAGTACTTTACAGTTGCGCACACACACACAGACACACTTTGGCACGGCACGGATGACTGCGACGAGCGACCGACAGGACCAAACGACGACAGACTGCAGCAACCATACAGAATCACGGAAGGCCAGTTATAGAAACAACTGCTTCTTTGGAGTGTTTTGGTATTTGATGCACAGTGTCGTTGGGTACGGTAGCATCAGAGAGC